TATTTTTAATAAAAATTTTTTTACAAAGTGAAGAACTGGGAATACTCGATGATTTAAAATCCCTGAAATTATGAATTAAATTATTTTGTTTCGTTGATATAAAAATGAGAATTTACCAAATAAATGTTGGCATTCAAAAATTTCTTTATTTGTTTGAAAATTTTGAGGAATTCCATTTCTTTTTTACATACTATTAGAATGTTTCAAAATTAAACTTTTTTTTTCCTTTGTATACGAAGATATTTTTAAAGTACTAAAATTTTTTTTTTTTAAAAGAAAAATCTGTTTTTTTTTAATGATTAGTTTTAAAAAAAATTCTAAATTTTAATACACATATTGTAAAATTTTATCTTGATGTTAAATCAAATTTATTTTCATCATTTATTTTTTTCATGGATACAAATTAATCTAAATTTTTTATTTTTATTCCATCTTCATATATTTATATATATATATATATATATAACTAAAGAATATAAATTTTAAAATTAACTTGAATATTTAAACTAAAAATTCACCTTATATTTTTATAATGAATTTTTTCTTATAAAATTTAAACTTCAATCTTCCATGAATCTCGTACATTCATTTTGACTCTGGCGTATCGAATGTAAACAAATGACGTCAATGTTGATAAATGGACAATTTCCGACAATTTATTTATTAAAGACATTTTATTTTTAACGTTGTTATTTATAGATACAAGAATTTAAAGCAAATGCTCTGTTTATGATAAACAGTATTAAATAACATTTGAAGGCCTGAATGTCCGAAAAATTTTCATAGAATCTGTCATATATATATATATATATATATATATATATATATATATATATATATAAAAAATATATGTATATTGTTTGTGTGGATATATTATATATATATATATATATATATATATATATATTAAATTTACCAGATTGGAAAGTTTCTTCAAAAACTAAAAGAAAAGAATCTTTTCATTTGAAAATTGGAATGATGTTATTTGACAAGAAAGAAAGTCATTCTTAATATTTGATTTTATTTCTTCCAATAAAAAAAAAAATTAGATCAAAAACTCACATTTTATTTATTTAAATATTTTTATATATAATATATATATTTTTTTATAAATTTTAAAGATATAATAAACATTTTGATTTAAATGTTTTTTTTTACTTAAGAAAATGTCGTACTTTGAACCCCTACGAGAACAGTGTCAAATTGCATTAAAATTAGACAAGAGTTTTTTGAAATATGCTTTTTTTTCTATTTTTACGGCATTTTTGACAGGAAATTCGTTTTCGTTTACACATTCTATTATCGATCCGGGTAAATAAGCAAACACTTGCATATTATATTCCAAGTGTAAAAAAATAATAAAATTTCATAATATAATATAATATAATGACATTATTAAATAAATTTAAATATTCTAAAAACATAATATAAATATTTATATATTATTTCATTTATTACTTTTCTTATAAACGAATCCCTCGGATTGTTTTTCAAGTCTATCATGATAAAGACAAAGATTTATCTGTGTCATTGTAAAATTTAAATCTTTATGGCTGGAAAATTTTCATTTATAAGCTTTTATGGTAAATAAATACATTTTAGAATTTATCTGGTAACTGAAAAACAAATTTATTTTGAAATAAATTTGAAAAAAAAAAAAAATATTTAATAAAAATATTATTTTATTAAAATTTTCTATTAAAATATTGCATTTTATGATAATAATAATTATTAAAATTAATTTTTTTTAATTTAAAATAAAAAATTTCAATTTATAATAAAATTGATAAATTTTACCTTCATTTTTGTATTTTAAGACCTTGATTTACGTGTTTTTTTTATTAAGAACATGTAACTCTCCTATTGAAAAAAGTCCGCTAAAATTTTATGGTCGACTCAGAGATTGAATTTTTTTTTCAAAAAAAAGATGATATATATATATATATATACCATGAAATATTATTAAACAACAAAATTTATAATGGACAAATACATTAACATTTGTGTTTGTGTTAAGCGTATTGTCAAGTTCATATTTTGATTAATGTTTTTTGATATAGTTTTTTTTTAATTTTTTTCCTATTTAAAATTTTTTCTGCCAAAGATCCCATTTTTAAATGTTTCCACTCTGATCAATGCTTAATTTGCGGAAGAAATGATCAAAAATTTCCAATTTAAATGAATATTGAAAAACAGTGAAAATGAAAAATAACCTTTCGTCTCAAATTTCAATCTCCTTAATTTTTAACAAGTTTTAAATATTTGTATATATTATGGGTTATATATATATATATATATATATAGAAAAGTTTTAAATATACTGAAAATGTTGACAATACAATTAAGACAAAAAAGAACTTAAAGAATTTTGTTTTTCGTCCTCTGTATTCATTGTTCAACACCTCCATTTATGATCGCTTCTATACTTAAAAATTTTGAAAAATTCGACATTTTGCTCTTAGAAATAAATACTTGTTACAAAAAAAAAATTCTTGATTTGCCTTGATAAAACCCTCTTTTAAATATATATCAACTTTTTTATTTCTCTCTCACCCTCTTTGTTTTCATAATTGTTTTTGTTTTTTATCCCTATACAAATACATCCGCGTCCTGGGTATGACGATAAACGAATCCGCGTCCTGGGTAAGACGATAAACTATATCCAACAAAGGCCTCTGATCAGGAGGTTTTAAGGAACGTTTCAACCACCTCTTAATTGCTGGTGTTCCCAGGTTCACCCTGACCCAAAACATTTAGCACCTGTTAGGGTCCCAGCTATGGGTAAATAGTTTCCCCCCAAACTGAAAGTAAAAGAAAATTAAAAAAAAAAATTAAAAATAAAAAAAAATAAAATTTAATACCAAAAATAAAAAATTTGTAAAAAAAATATTTTTTTTAAATTTTTTGAAATAACAAAAAAATTTTTGAAAAAAAATAATACACCAGCAATATTTTTTGAAAAAAACTAAAAATTACCAATAATATATTTTTTGAAAAAAAAAATAATATTTTTAATAAATTTTTACAAAAAAAAAAAAAAAAAATATTTCCAACAATATATTTTTTAAAAAAAAAAAAAATAAACCAATTTATTTTTTTTATATTTTTGATTATTTTTGAAAAAAAATAAAAAAAAAGGTAAAAAAATATATATTTTGAAAAAAAAAAAAAAAACGTTAAGCAATATATTTTTAAAAAAAAAACTTTACTTTTAATTTTTGAAAAAAATTTTGATCAGCAAAAAAAAACTAAGCCTTTGCCAAAAAAAAATAAAACCATATATTTTTTTAAAAAAAAATTACCAGCTATATATTTTTTAAAAAAAAAACAATTACCAAAAAAAAATACATTTTAAAAAAAAAAATTTACCAAATAAATTTAAAATATTTACCAGCTATATATGTTTTAAAAATTTTAAAACATGTTTAAAAATAATACTATACATGTTTTAAAATAATATTACCAGCTATACATGTTTTAAAATAATATTACCAGCTATACATTTTTTTCATATATTACCAGAAATAGATGTTTAACAAAAAAAAAATTACCAGAAAAAAAAAGTTGTCAGCATTAAATAACCCAATGAGGTTGATATACCGTAAACACACAACAAACCAAACAACAAGATACAGACTGACCTGTAGGAGTCTATGAGGAAGCAAGACATAAGAAATTGCTAATTAGGGCAAGTTGATTTTTCACTTTTTATAGAGAATCATCATTACACTCGGTGTGAAAGCTGGAATTTGATGTGCTAAGTCTTGAGACCGAAGATTAGATTCATAGTTTTTACCAATTTTTGAGCATTTAGTTTTAAAGATTGTCTGAAAAAATATAGAGAAATACCTAATTTCCGGATGTTTTTGCTAACAAACTGGCCTGAAAATTTTACTATTTCAAGAATAATTCTAAATAAAGTTGATACCTTTTGTATTATATATATTGCATAGAAAATATATTCAAACCAGAATTCTAATTATCAATCACTACATGCAAAATATGCATTTTTACTGCATTTCATAAGTAAAAACTGTGAAAAAAATATCAAAGATTACAAAAATGACTAATCAATGAATAAAATGTATCAGATCATTTGTTAGACTAGAATTAATAAAAACAAAAAAATAGATTAAAGTCTATATGACACCATAATACATCTGGGCACAAATTATAAGACTAAATGTTTTAAATTTGTATTATTTATTGAAACTCACACTAAGTAAAATGTAACATATTACATCATAATATAGCTAAATTGTTCAGTATAATTTTGCTTTTAAGTAAACGAGGGTTTTATTTACTGACAAAATAATTTAGTAATAAAGTGCTTGTGCCGTGCATCTTGTCCATATACAATTTATAAAGATTCAGTAAATTATAGATTTTGTAAGGCTGAGATATAACGCTTTCACCAATCACCGGAGTTAAATTCCAAAGCTAAGATTTTGAACCTAAACTTAATTTTTAAATTTTTCTCCTCAAAAAACGGTAACGATTTGGGAAAAAATAATTTGTGTTGTTATTTCATGGCAAAATCGAGCTATCGAATCGAGTGCGATACCACGCTTCCAAATACAACCTGCCCCATTGCCTATGCTAATTTCTTTGGTTTGGATGTAGACGTCAGCTTTAGAGTTACAGAAGGTCTTAGTTGTACAAGCTGGAAGTAATTTTTGAATGACCTTCACCTTTCAAAATTATATGGTAATTACTAAAATTGGTGTAAATTATGCCTCCGGGGCTGCTATTACATGAATGGAAAGGCCTTCAGGGTGATATCAGTTTGCAGTTTCATTCTAAAAAAAAAATCTTTTTATTATTAATTTCTTATTACGTTTCATTTCAGTAATAATGTGAGCAATAATAATTATTACAATAACTTGTATTGAAATAAAAAATAAAATGTGTAATTATTAATAAAATTGATAATCATCATTTTATATCATGAACTTCTTTAAAAAAGAAACCAACGGTTTTCTATACTTATTTTTACATATATATATATATATATATATATATATATATATATATATATATATATATACAGGAGTAAACCCAGATATAAGAGAGATTTTCTCTGGTCCCAAATTAGAGCCTGTGTTAATGCATATAAAATAGACCAAACCCGGATATAAAAGACTTCTTTTCCGGTCCCGACAACTCTCTTATATCCGGGTTAGACTGTAGTAACAAATCCGTTGGTTTATAAAATACTAAAACTGATCCACAAAACGAGCTCAATATATTATTTCAGAGCAAATAATTAATAAACAATAAAATCCAAAATCACCTCATATGGAGAATAGCTTATTTCGGCAGACAAAAACACTCGTTTGTCTCGTCAACGCCGGCGAATTTATAGACACTCTATCATATATATATATATATATATATATAATAGGGTATCCATAAATTCTCTTTACAGTTTCAAATAATTATTACGAAAGCAAATGAACAGAGAAATGATTGAAAATAAGGAGTAGATATTGAAGTGTATTTTAACTAATTTAATACACCTCTATATGGGCACCATTAATTGCACGAAGCACCTCAAAACGATACTCGATTTCTTGTCATGTTCGCTGTAGCATAGCTTCATCAATGGCATCCGTGATGTCCTGTACCTTTGTTCAATACGCTATATCTTTAACATAATCCCATAGAAAGATGGCCGGGGAATTGGGCCATCTCTTTCAATCCACCGGTCTGGAAATGTTAGGGGTTCATTTAACAGTACCTCTTTCATCAACAGGGTACCTGAAATACACAAATACAATGTGATTAAAAACTTTGATAACTACTGAGTATATAGAACAAATCTGATTAAGATATATCACGAATTGTCTTTGGTAATATATAATTTTTTAAATTGTAAAGAGATTTATGGACATGCAGCATATAATTCTTTAACTTGGTAACCAGTGAAGTATAGAATTTTGATTGCTTTATTCTCTTAGGGTAGCGATTTCTCCCTAAAAGTTCTATCTTAATATCTATTTCTCTCTCTCTCTCTCTATATATATATATATATATATATATATATATATATATATAGTTGAATGCCAAAATGTAAACAAATTCTATGCGACACGTTTCCTTGCGCCCGACGTGTGTGGACAAACAGCTCAGGCGTTACGTAGAAATGCATGAAGTGAATTTAAAATTTAAAAATTTAATTTAACAGTAACATAATTTTTTAATGTCTTTAAAAAAATGTTTTTTTTTCTAACAACAAATCAATAATATGAATATAATTTGTCGAATGAGTTTAAGTACGCACATTACACTTATAGCCAAAGTTTGTTATCAACAAACTTAATTTTAAAAAATCTCTTTCTATTAGTTTAAATAAAATGTTTTAACTTACATTAGTAATTATATATATATATACGTAGTAAAGGAAAAATAAATGCGTTGGTATATAATCCAAGTGGATCCTAGTAATATAAAAATATTACAACTGATCCACAAAAAAAGAGCTCGATATATTTTATTTATAGAGAGCAATTAATAATCAAACAAATCCTTTTTAACTCATATGGAGAATTCAGCAGACGACGAAAGTGGTCGTCTGTCTTTTCATCCAAGGGGTCGAAAAGTCAGGCGACTACTTTCGTCGTCTGCCGAAATAGACCATTCTCTATATAAGGTAAATGGATTTGTTTGATTATTAATCGTATTTTATGGAAGTCCACTCGTGACAAAAGATGGATACTTCTTAAACTCGTTCTAAATCACCTCCGATTTTCATCTTATAGCTGGTGTCGTCACAGCTCATTGTTAAGTCCTGGCATTGATTTGCCCTTGATGATGTACATATTAGTCGGTTACTGACCACTGGCTGATCTAGATGCTTTGATTACAATGCCCTATTAGACCACTAAAATCCTGCATACCTTGTCACAGATGGTACACGAAAAGTCAGTTGGCGTGATTTCATATGACTCTCCATGCCCGCTTTCGACAAGCAGATACGATCACAAATATTACGAGTCAGGTCTTCCTTAGATTCCTTTCCTGGGAGGGCTGGCACCTCCTTCATATGCCTAGCCGCACGCTTAACTTCTGCATTTTCAATCCTTCTTTTCTTAGAATCTTTCATTGCCTGCAGGATCTCATATATATATAGTCACCCACAGACTGTTCGTTGTATTACAGCTCTTCAGTGTGGCTAGACGTCCGATAGCTTCAAGCCGGGATCGAAACCCGAGATAGATCCTACCCTCGGCTATCGTCACACAGAAGAGAGGAATTGAAATTTTAACATTTATTTATGCGAAATACGCCACACACACACACACACACACACACATACATACATACATACATGCATACATGCATGCATACATACATACATACATATATATGGTTAACCGTTATCTTTCCCTGATATCCGTATAAACTCTGCCCCTTATTCTTACGGCTCACTCAAAAACCGCCTTTAGTTGCTCTGTACTTTGAGTGTCCCTTGGGTCTTGTATGGGATTTATCTTCGCATTCGAAATCTAACCAAATAAAGTGGAGTTGATGTAAATTACCTTACGAAGCTCGAACTCTAAGCAGAAGTATGAAAATTGAAAATGTTTAAAATGAGCGGCGAGAAAAGACCTTAGACAGCGAAGATCACAGAGATAACAATGATGGATTATAAAGAGTAAACTTAAGTTGAACCTCTGCATAAGCAGAAGGGGGAAAAAAGCCACTTTAAAGTAATGTTAACGTTTGTTGTTGAGATAATAATGACGACGACAAATTTCTCTCTCTTTCTCTGGTCGTTTATTCTTATTTGAAAATCTGACAAACAACTAAATGGAAAATAAATATTGTAAAAGACGTTTTCGGAAAAGGATGAAAGAAATTTGTCTGCTTTCCTGCAAGGGCGAAGGTCGACAAAAGATAGAATTTGAATTCATTGCTCTTACTTTTCAGATATCTTTTACCCGTCGGTTCTCAGTCATTTTTTTTTTTTCTTTTTTTTTTTTTTTTTTTTTTTTCTTCTTTTTTTTTTTTGTTGTCTTTGGTTTTTTTTTTTTCTTGTTTCTTTGGTCCTTTCTTTTTTTTTTTTTCTTTCTTTTTTTTTCCTTTTCTTTCTTTTCTTTTTTTCCTTTCTTTTTTTTCCTTTCTTTCTTTTTCCTTTCTTTCTTTTTCCTTTCTTTCTTTTCCTTTTTTTTTTTTTTCCTTTCTTTCTTTTTTCCTTTTTTTTTCTTTTTTTTTCCTTTCTTTCTTTTTTTTTTCTTTTTCTTTCTTTCTTTTTTTCTTTTTTCCTTTCTTTTTTTCTTTTCTTTCTTTTTTTCCTTTCTTTCTTGTTGTATGTTCTTTACCTCTCTTAGGTTTCTTTTTCTTTACGTCCCCTTTCTTTCATCATATCTTTTTTTACTTTACCTTTCTTTTTATTTTCTAATCTCTTTTTGAATTGTTCCCTTAAGCAACCCTCACCCACCCCGGTTTGGTTTTCTTTCTTTTTACTTCATATTTCTATTCATTTCATCTGCTTAACATGTTTTTGATTTGTCTTTGCACATCTTTCTTTTTTTTCTACTTTTTCATTTTCAGCAGATTTCTCTTTTTCTTTATACACATTGTTTTTTCCCCTTATTTACCACTCGTACTTCCTCTACTAACCTACCTTTTTCTTTTTAACCCACTCTTTTTCTTCTCATCTCCTTCCTCATCCGCAAATCTTTATTAATTTCTTTCCTATGTCCTCTTTCCCTACAAGCTTACATTTTTTACCGTGCTCATTTTTCTTTTTCCTTTAGTTTTTTTTTTTTTTACTTTAGTGAAACAACAACACTATGCAGACGGCAGTGACAGTCTGTTGGAAGCTTAACTAAGAGAGATTAAATTATAACAATAATAGGTAATTACACATAATTGTAATGAAGAGTTATGTCCCTTTGAAATAAATTTTTACGACAGTTAAGCTTTTGATTTCTTTTTTTAATTCGATGAAGAAAGATTTTCAGAAAATTGGGAAAAACATTATTACTGTTCCGTGTGGCATCAATTAAATTTCAAGAACCGTTTAGCCTACAATGACCGTTACGGAAACTATAGAATTTTTAATCATCTTTTTTCTTTCTTTTTTTTTTCTTTTTTTTTTTTTTGTTCACGTGAGATTTCTTCCCTCTTTTCAATTTATTCATTTCTTTCTCATTCATTTTTTTTTTTTACAAATTATTTCACTTTTTATAGAATTTTTCTTTTATGATGTCTTCTTTTTCCGACTTGGAATTGACCTTTCTTTTCTTTTTTTTTCCCCCCCTCTTATAACTGCTCTTCTTTTTTTGCTTCCATCTATTTTCGCTAAAAGTAGAAGAAATACGGGCAAAGTCTCGTTTTTCATCCTGTGCTTTTTCCTTCACTAAAAACTATATCTTTTTCTTTCAGATATTTGTTTTCCTTCTTTTTCTTTCCGTATTTCTTTCAACTAAGATCTCTTTGTTCTATTTTCCTTCCTTTTTTTCCATTTCGTTTTCTTTCCACAACATTTTTCTTTATCTCGCTTTCATATCATTTTTTTTTTTCATCTATTTTCATTTTTTCCCCCTCCTTCCTCATTTTCTGTCTGTATTTCTTTCAACTATTTTCTCTTTCCTTTATTTTAATTTCTTTTTCTTTCTTTTTCCCGTTTCTTTCCGCTACTTCTTCTTTCTCTCAGCTCCACTCTTTTTCCCTTTCATTTATTTTCTTTTTTCTTTTTCCCTCTTTTCCTTTTTTCTCCTTATTTCATAAATTTCTTCTCTTCCTCCTCTGTTCTTCAGACATTTTCTATTTTCTTCACGTCAGTTCTACACTTTCTCCTTTTAACTTTGGATTTATCCTCTTTTACCTTTTGTATCTTTTAAACCTTTACTTTTCCTTCTCTGTCTTCTTCCTATTTCTTTTTCTCTCTTCTACATTCACTTTTCTTTTTTTCCCCCTATCTTGTACACTCTTTATTCTCTTTCTGGTTCTTTATCTTACAGTTAAGTTTTCCTTCCCTAGATTCTATTAATTTAAAAACATCCCCCTTCATCTATTTTTGTTTTCTCATACAATTTCTTTTTTATGTTTTAAAAATTATTTCCTTTTTCTACTTATTTATGATTTTTTTACTTTTATTTCCGACCCAACCGACGCCGCCGCCATCTTTGTTCTATTCCCTCAGCACTTCTTCCTTTTTCCAAACATGTCAATTTTACTAAATGGATGTTCGAGACAATGGCTAAATGGGATATATATTGAGGGTGACTTGTGCCGAATAGATTTATGTTGCAAGTAAGAATTGTTGACAACCCCTGTTGAGCAGCGTTCATAATGTCTGTAGCATCAAGAGGCAGATGGAAATCTTTGGAAGGAGTCGAAGACACACATGACAACGACGGGTAGGGTGACCTCCATGTTACATTTATCCTCCCCACCTTGTGGTTTACAAGATTCTTTTTGGACATGTGTTACTTTTTATGGATTGTGATGACTATCGAATTTGTCACACGCATTTACAGCAATGCTTTGTCGTCGTTATATCTAGATCTCTGATTGAGGTAAAAAAAGGGCGTGTCTTTTAATTGGTCGTAAATTTGACGGCTTCAATCTATCGCACACATACGTCTCACCATCACGTATTTTAAGGTTGTGTTAAGTGTATGCTTTCTTGCTAATGCACATGACAATCATTATGTAAGGAATGTGTATGTCATTGAAAGATTTTCGTTCAATGTTCAAACATACAAACACTCATTTGCCAAAATCCGACCAAATTACTAAATATCAAAATTGGGGAGTAAATAGCTTCTTAGTCTGGAAGAGAACTTTACAACTCTCTCCCTCTCTCATATATATATATATATATATGCACACACATTTGGGCTGCAACCTTCCTTTTTAAATATCTTTCGATAATATAACAAACAAGGAAAATTTAATTTATTTTTTAATTAGCATTTCTTACGTTCTTCCATTTGGAAAAAACTTTGAATTATTTTCATTATCCGAAGCGCTTTCGATCACTTCTTGGACCATTTTCAAAGCGGGAGAGTGTTTTGTTTTTGTTTTTTTTTTTTTCTCATGTTTTGACTATTTAAATTGTATTGTATTTACGCGTTGTTTGGAATAGAAGCGTTTATTCCGAGTCTTCGTAGGTTGAGCGCGGGTGGAATTAACATTCAATGGAATTCTCACACACACACACAGCACACACACACACACACACACGCACATATACATACATATATATATATATATATATATATATATATATTGTTGGGGCGCACCCACCTTCTCATCAGAATAGACTGATCTCTCTCTACTACTAATAGGACAGTTCTATAGAGTTCTGGGAAGATCAGGTGACCATCACACTTCCGTCTCTCTACCGGAAGATACAGTTGACTTTATACTCTTTCTGATTGTTACTGACTAACCTGCGTTCGTTTGACTACTAATCTCTCTGTTGTAAATACCTCTTCAGATATACCAGTATTTTTTCCCTACGTATGTGTTTGTCCTTATTTCAATACACGCACGCGGAAACACTCAGCATCTCAATATATATATATGAGATAAGGCTTTAAAAAGTTCTTGTCCTAACCCATTTTCCAAAATCTGACCAAATTACTAAACATCAAAATTTGGGTGTAAATGGCGACTTGGTCTGAATGAGAATGTTAAACTCCATCTCTCCCTCCCCCCCACATATATATATATATATATATACATACATATAATTAATTCTTTAAAAATATGATTCCATCACTACATAAGAGTTCTCATGTTTCAAAAACAGAAACACAAGAACTCTTATGTAAGATTTTGAAATCACAACTTAAAAATAATTATAATATAGGCTCTACTTGTGTATTGAGCACTGTTTTTAAAATAAAAAAAAATACTAAGAACTTCAGATTATTAACCTAACTGTTCTTTCCTATTTTTCCACACACACACATATATATATATATATATATATATATATATATATATATATATATATATGAAAAAATTTTAGGTTAACCTGTAGAAAAGACAATATTTATAAATATAAATGACAATAGGAAAACTGTAGTTATTGCTGACGCGTTTCGCCCAATATGGACTTTCTCAAAGTAAAAAACGAAATGAATTTAATTAAAGAACATAACTAATAATAACAAAAAACAGAATGTTCTTAGCAACTGGAGGAATATAGAGAACGATATTTTCATATTGTTAACTGAGTGTCGCCATAGAATATTACCCAAATATTGATAATCTACACTCATTTTTTTTTTAAAGTTATTTCTCCCAAAAATTAATTTCGGCAATATCGTAAAAATCAAAAGAAAATGGTTGAATCCGACGAACACAGTTATAATGACAATATTCTCGATACGTGACAATAACTGACGTTATTTTCATTAACAATATGAAAATAGCGTTTCTCTACATTCCTCAGTTGCTAAGAACATTCTGTTTTTTGTTATTATTAGTTACGTTCTTTAATTAAATTCATTTCGATTTTTTGCTTTGATGTCCGCATTGACGAAACGCGTCAGCAATAACTACAGTTTTCCTATTTTTTTTATTTATATATATATATATATATATATATATATATATATATATATATATATATATATGTGTGTGTGTGTGTTTCAAAAAAAGATATTGAATACATAAACTGCATCCCGTGCATAGGGGTTTAAAATATTTCTTGTTACTTTATTTTATCTATCCGTATTAAAAAATTCAATAAAATTTGCCTTTTTTTATTTGTAAATTAAAAATTGGATCTCTAAAATGACATCTAATCTACTGAGGAATGAGGAAAGGTTTGTTAATTTTAACGCCTCTAAAAACGAATCTGCTCTCTATAAACTTTTTAAAGAACCCAGTTTTGCATTTCATGGCTGATGTTAACCTCCAGGAGGAAAATTCACTGCGTCTTCATGGTTTCACGTTTTCCACTCACATGTGGATGATTATAGTAAATCATTTGCTAAGTCTGCTGCTAGGAAAGCTGGTTCACTCTGAAGCGCTAGACAATTTTTCTCGCCAGAATCTATCTTGCAAATTTACAAGTCTACCATTCGTATGTGCATTAAATATTGTTGCCATTATAGTATAATTGGTGCTTTTAGAATTGTACAAAAAAAAAGAAGAATCTGCAACGTTAGTTGTAACCGTAAGTTCTATGCTGATATTTCCCTCTCTCTAACTTCTCGCTTGAGGAGCCAATCTTCAAATGTTTAAATACAATGTCAATCGTCATTTTCTGCTTTCATGAATTCTGTTCTTGTTCTCTGTTTCTTTCCGAATATTTTCTAGTTTATAGTTTAAATAAATCTTTCCAACTTTTTTAATTCACTGACATGAATCTGAATTATTATATTGAATCAACTGCTAAGAATGTTCGTTTACTGTGTCGTGCCAGACAATGTCTCCAGTTATAGATCTGTAATTAGTCCGTGCATTGAATATTAAATATTAATGAAGTTATGTTTAATCCGAAATTGTTATTACTTCAGATGTAATTATATTGGATACTCGTATTTGAAATAGACGCCCTATTTTTATTCTTTTTTTTTTACTTTAAACAGCGTGTATTGCGTCGCTCGATCTACGTATTCTTCATTAAACTTTCTCGAATACGCAGGCCGATAGACGTGATAATTATAAATTAAAGTTTTATTTAAATATGAACTATTCCATATATAAGTATCCACTATAATAACATTTGGGGCAATAACATATCTCTCTTCCTCTCTGGCGATAGCTCAGTTAAGTTCCATTTATTTTAAACACACGGAAACGTACCAAACCCATTAGCGATATACTTGTAGAAAATACAAGGATAATAGACTATTTCACATGTAAAACAAAGACTAAAAATAATGTAAGCACTAATAAAAAAATAAAAAAAAATACATAATGTAAATAAATATATATATAAATATATAATATATATATATTATTGCATGAGCCAGGTCCCTTTGATCTTTTGCGCTCCGCAGTCGTTTCTTTGAGAGATTTATGAACGCCATAAAAAGGTATCAGCGAAACTATCGTAATTAAATAAATAAATAAAGGTTCATTGGTTTAAACATTTTGGTCATTATTTTTTCTTTTATAGAAAGAATATTATTATTTGAAATCATATCGATTCAAATTTTCAAAATATACTATTAAAAATATCATTGATAATTCTCTTGCTGACGTGGCTTGCGCCCAATGTAAATGCCAAGGTAGTTGCCACTTTAAAAGCAGAGAATGACTTAATCCCTGACGCCTGTGACGTGTCATTATAGACGAGTTGGGGAAAATGAGCAAATTTTGGGCACCATGCTACACTTTATACTCCCATATCCTGTTTAGTGGAGGCGTATTGATAAATATTAGTCGTTTTTTTATGCGTATTTATTATTAAGTCTGGTGTGCAATTCCTTCATTACATTTAAAGTAGGGAATCATGGTTAACACGCGATTCCTGAAGCCTTTCCCGTGGGATAATGCAGAGGGAGCTGAGAAAATTCCGAAACCAAGTCTGGATACGTGTCAGCGTGAATATATATATATATATATATATATATATATATTTATTTATAAACTATTTTATTTTTTTTATCTTTCAGTATTTTCAAACACACATCAATTAAACTTTTATAAGATTTATATATTTTATTATAGGATATTACATTCGAACATGTGTAGAAAACCGATACATGAATACTGTTTTATATGCATAATTGTATCTCATAGTAAATGAGGGTTATTATAAGTAGTAAATGTTAAAAATTGTAATAATCCTCATTGAAGAGACTTGATGAGATGCGATGATATGTATCGAAACATGAGATATTTTAAAATAGATAGTTTTTAATTTTGATTTAAAATTTTTTATCCTATAATAATAAAGAATATTATTGTATATTGTATTGAGTCCTATTTTGAATTAATGTTATGAACGTTTGAATTTATATTTGATTCGTTCTCATTTCATTGATAGTGTGCGTATATATATATATATATATATATATA